ATATATATATATATATATATATATATATATATATATATATATATATATATATATATATATATATATATATATATATATCATGTAATTAATTGCCGGCAATTCATCCTTGGCTTCACTGCACTCTCATCCTATTCATGCAAATATGCACGTACTCTATGATAATAAACCATATCATATATATATATATATATATATATATATATATATATATATATATATATATATAAACCTTGAAATAAATTAAATTGAGAGATTTAATTTCATATATATGTGGGGTGATCAATAACTCAATATATATAGGCAGAAAAAGGGTGAGAGATATATGGGAATAATATATATATATATATAAGGGATAAAATATATAAATATTCCAAAATATAAAGTTGATAAGTGCATGTGTCCATGCAAATAAAATGACATGTAATGTAAGATAAGAGAATGCAAGATTTGGTCAGCGCTACTCCTAAATTATATTGTCGACCCAACAAATAAAGTTATTTCGAATGTTTGACATTTGCCCTCTTGCAAGAATATCGAATCTATACATACTGTATGTATATATATATATATATATATATATGTATGGATATTGAGAAAATTATTAATGTTTACTTTTATTTGAAGAAAAATTCGTTCTTTGATGTAAAAAAAGTATTAAATATTCTCTCAACACATTTTCAATTGTTACTTCATTTAACATTCAATTATAAATGATTAGGGGTGTCGATGAGTAGAGCCATGTTCATGAGCTCGATGAGCTGGCTCGACAAAAGTTCGAAACTTTCCGACGAGCTAGCTTGAGCTTGAACCCTTCTTTAATTGTTCATGAGCTCATGAGCCGGCTAGCGAGCTTTTAAAATACAGATATATGTTTTATTCGATAACTTTTTTATTTTTCATATAAATAATTTAATAATAAAAACTAAAATTAATATTATGTAAAAATTGAAAGAAAAAAAAAATTGAGCTCGAGCTCGTCAAATAAAAGTTCGATGAGCTGGAGCTATAAAATAAAATTCACAAGGGGATTGAATTCGATGCATTTTTTTTCTAAACATGCACCAAATGTTTAATGCTGTTAATATATTATCCCAAAATTATAAGAAATTCGATATATAATTGTTGGGGGAAAAGGCAATTGGCATGAAAGAAAATAATCAGATAGAAGTTAGGAAAAGGAAGCACACACTCTAATCACACTATTACAATATAATTTATCTTACTTAACCATATCCTAATCCACAATTAATTTCCATTTCTTATTTCTCATCACAAACTTATGCATATCAATAATTATCATCACTCCTCACAATTTTTCTCCCTACATAAACGCCTCCCTAATTTCCACATCAACACACAAATCAAGAAAATATATAATAATTAATTAAAAAAGGAAAAAGAAAAAAAAAATCATTAATTAATTAATTAGCAGCTGATATTAATGGCGGGTGGAGCAGACGCGCTGGACTCAAGAGGCATCGTGACAGTCGCCGCCGGAGAGACACTCCGCCGGCCACGTGGACGTCCGGCGGGATCGAAGAACAAGCCGAAGCCGCCGATCATCATCACTAGGGATAGCGCCAATGCTCTGAAAGCCCATGCAATGGAGGTCACCTCCGGCTGCGACGTCGGCGAGAGCCTCACCACCTTCGCCCGCCGGAAGCAGCGCGGCATCTGCGTGCTCAGCGCCACCGGCTGCGTCACCAACGTCACGCTCCGGCAGCCGTCCTCGGCGGGCTCCGTCGTCACCCTCCACGGCCGCTTCGAGATCCTCTCCCTGCTCGGCTCGATTCTGCCGCCGCCGGCGCCGCCGGGTGTGGCGGGACTCGCGGTGTACCTCGCCGGAGCTCAGGGGCAGGTTGTGGGCGGCAGCGTGGTGGGGCCGCTTGTAGCCTCTGGCCCGGTCGTGATCATGGCCGCGACTTTCATGAACGCCACCTTCGACCGCCTGCCGCTGGATGAGGACGACGGTGGTGATGAGATGCTCGCCGCCGCCGTCAGCGGCGGCGGCGGCGGCCAGCAGTATCAGAATAACAGGCGGCGCCACCATGTCGATCATGTTCCGGATCATGTGTACGGGATTCCGCAGAATTTGCTGGCGAATGGTACATTGGGCACTGATGGTTATACCTGGGCTTCGGGCCGGGCCCCATCGAAGCCCTAAATTGATTGAAAATTAAATTCTGTATTATTTTGGCTAATTATGCAAAATTGTGATAGTTCAATTTTATTTTATTTTATCTTATTTTATTTTGCAAGGCGATAAATGTAATTACTGCTTATGCAAAAAGATGCGCAAGCAAAAGAAACCTTAATTACACTTCTACCTCATGTCTTAATTAATTTCATATTTCAAGTATTTTAGTATTTCTAACATGCTTAAAACTTAAATATATACTCTCTAATTTCCTTAATAGTTGTCACTTTTGCCAATTTTTTTTATTTCAAATTATTTGTTATTTTACTATTCCAATGAATTATTAATTTAAAATTTTCAGTTTTGCCCTTTCTTATTCATAATTAATTTAAATATAATTAATTAAAAATCAATTAATGGCATGGGCATTTTAGTATTTCGCTATACTTTTTGTTATTATTCATGCATAATTATTTATTTTCTTAATATTATGTGATTAATTTCGTCCAATGCAATATAAAACAAACGAGAAAATTACTGTTTACATCCCTCAAGTTTGCACCGATTTCACATTTGGTCTCCATGTTCACAAAAAACACATTTGGTCATTCATGTTACATTAATTTAACATTTGTAGTCATTTACCGTTATTTCGCCAGTTAAGGCAGTGATGAGCACAAACTTGACTACATTAGTATTAACGGGAAATTGACGGAAATGACTAAAAATGTTGTATTTTGAAATATGAGAGACCAAATGTGTTTTTTATGAACATTGAGGATTATATGTGAAATCAATGCAAACTTACAGGATGAAAATTGAATTTTTCCCTAAAACAAACCCACACCTCGGTGACTGTAGCCCATTAAGCAAAACGACGACGTCTTAATAGTCCAGTTTAAACGAGTCAATCCAGTAGTAACCTAAGGATTAAATACCCAAAGCCCAACTAAGATTGTATAAGCCCATCCACCAATTTTGATACATTATATTTGCGTGCCGTTATATATATTTCACTTTAACACACGTGCATATCTTCAAACTACTTTCCACGTGTAAAAATGCATGTAGTATGAACAAATGTAAATGCGTTTAGTATACGTCACGACCACGTCATTCTTGCCAATCACTACTTCTCTGACACGTGTAAATTATACATTATGATGACAAGTCATCTTAATATATAATTGATGTCAATTACCTACAAAATTAGGATAAGTGGATAATGTTTGGTAACCGACTTCGTTAGATAAAAAATGGGTCATGGTAAACTAATATGTAACTATTTAATTTTTTGTTTAAAATAATTAAATGTTTTTAAAAGTTTTTTTAGATGAGATTCAAAATTTAGGAAAAAATATGTTCTAAAAATCACAACTTTAAAATTAAGAGTTTAACTAAATTTCTACATTAAGCAAATATATAATGACGAATATATCTGAAATAAAATTATAAAATAGATACAGTACGTAGAGGTTCATAAATTCATATTTTACGTTGTTGAATTTTAACCTCTTTTATATATTATTTTAATTTAAAAAAATTACAATTAAATATTTATAATAAAATTTTAATTATTAAAAAAATCGATTGGTCATAATCGAAAAACAATCCAACCAAAAAATTGAACTCAAGTGTTTGAGTTTTCAATAAATTGTTGATTTGCATGTGACCATACACTAATTAAGAGACCACGTGTCAAGGTTTAAACATACCTATTTTCGTTAATATAATACTACTCCCTCTGTCCCATATTATATGTCTTTTTAGAGAGTTTTTTTAGTCCCAAATTATTTGTCATTTTATATTTTCAATGAAGCATTAATTGCATTATTTTCAATTTTACCCTTAATCACTTCTAATTAATTAGTTGAGAATCAATAAATGTCAAGGATATTTTAGTAATTTTATATGTTCTTTTACTATAATCTATGCACATTTATTGATTTTCTTAATATGTGCAAAACTACTCAAAACGACATATAAATTGGGACGGAGGGAGTATTATTTATAACATAATGTTTTCATTTATAAATTATAATATTGTCTGCTCGTATGGGTCCTTCGAAAAAGAAACATGAAACGTGTCACAACCGCGTAGGTTAGCAATTGCGTATGTATTCAGTTCAGTTAGGTGTGTGTGTGTGTGTGTGTACGAGTGTGTGTGAAACCACGTGATATTTATTGCCTACTCTTGCATCAAATTAAAATTGCATCATAAAATATAATAATTTAGTAAAGGTAAGAAAATATGAAAACGCATTTAATTTTTTTTTTAAATTAGCTACACTTTTCCGTATATAATTTTCTTGGCTATAAGAACATCAAAAAGAAAAAATTCGAGAAAAGTCTCTCGTTTGTTACAGAAAAAATACTCCTACATTTTCATTATCGAGAAAATTCTCGACGCAAACTTGTGCCATAAGTTCGTAGTGTACAAGATGTCATAAATTCACTGTCGGTAAACAACTATTGTACAAATAGTAAGCACGCCAAATTAAACAAAGGCTCGTTTTTCAAGACCTAAAGAACTATATAACATAAATAGATGTATACCTAATGCACCTATATATACATGTGACATTTGGATGCACGTTACTTCTTTATTAAATAAGTAAAAATAAAATTGTAGTAATTTTATTTAGGTTAACCCCATTATATTATGATAATCAAACAAAGCACATTAATTTTAGTGGTCCATTATTGATTGTGGTACTACTGGTTGAAAATGAGGATTTTAATTTAATGTATTGATGAAATTAGAGGGTGACTTTGTTTTATGAAAATATGGAGGGGACCTAATAACTTATCTTTATTCAACAATTTACACGTGCTATTTGCAACGTGTAATTTTACAACAGATTGAGTTAATTAATGACTTAATTCCGTTTTGCACCCTTCAAATATGGTATATTGGTACTTTGCATTTTTTTAAAAAATTAATAGCACTTTACATCCTCGATACACAAAACATGATTCACAATGCATCATAAATTAAATATTTAAAACTTAATTTTATTTTTTATTGGTTTTTATTTTCAGGATGCAAAATAAAAAAAATAAAAAAAAATAATTCCAACCCCAACATAATTTCGAGCGTATAAAATAAAAAAAAAAACAAAAATCACATAAAATTACTTAAAAAACTATATTTTTCTTACCAAAAGAAAATATTAAACAAAAACTCACTAATTTATTCGATTGATGAACTTAAAAAAAGAATATCATCAATACCATCTCGTCGCAATGAATGAAGCTATGGAATAAGCCTCTTATCCTCTTAACTAATTAATTAATTATAAATATATGTACATACCAAATATATTAAATAAATAAATAAATAAATAATTAAATAATTAAATCAATTTTTTTCTTTCCCTATTTGTGTTTCAGCAAGGGTGCAACTTAAATGTTAAGACCTATTTCGTGTGGTCATTATTTGATAATTATGAATGGGCGGAAGGATCATATTCGGTTCGATTTAGGTTGATTTACGTTGATTATATCTGAATGGATTAACAAGGTACCCAAAGAGCTCGACTATATCGATACATAAATTTTGGGAATAATCCGATTTGTCAAAAATGTGTAATAACTATAAAATTTATAAAAAAAAAAAAAAAATTGGCTAACCATTGTATTATGATAATCAAATTAACAAAACATACTCTATAATTTCAGCGGTCCATTGTATGCAGTGATAAAATTAGAGGGGACCAAATATCTTGTCTTTCTTGAACAATTTAATTTTTGGGAACAATTTCTTTCATACGAAATTCCAAAAGTTCTTATAACAGATTGTTGCGAAATTTTGGAATCCGATCTTTTCGGAAATAATTCTGAAAATTTAGATTTTTCCTAGAGTTTCAGTTATAATGTTACAATGTATATTATATTGTAGGACAATATATATGCTACACTTG